AGATGCATGCATCTGAAGAAGTGGGTTTTCCCCACAAAAGCTTATGCCCAAATAAATCTGTTAGTCTTTAAGGTGCCACCGGACTCCTCATTGTTTTTGTGGCTATAGACTAACAAGGCTACCCCTCTGATACTTAATAACAATAAGATCCATTCATAACTACCATGAAAGCTTGATCTTCTCCAAAACACAATGTACAGCCTGTTGGAAATATTGACCACATTTCAAATGATGTGTAAAATACTTTACAATCAAATTAAAGGGAAAAAATAAAGCAAGATGGCAACCATTTGATAGGCATCTTTCACATCTTAAATGAATAGAACTCATAATGTGAACCTGTTGGGAAATGGATGTCTTTAAACTAGAGTGGGCTTACAAATATGTTGCACTTGCTTTTGAGAGGGAACTTAATCAAACAACAGTACTTTGAGCATACTGTTTAAGAGGCTTTATGCTGCAAGACACGTTGCTTTAGGAAAATGGATGTGGAGAGCCTTTGAAAAATACAAAAGACTCAAAAGGAACACATAGTAAGTAATAGGTTTGACATTTCATAACTTCTACAGAAAAGAATTCATAACACATAATGCATGCAGCAATTCCACAGGTACTCCTAGTTCCACAGCCTTTACACGTGACACTCCCATTGACTTCAACAGGAACAGCAGACATGTAAAAGCTGGAGGAGAGTAAAATCAACCACTAAAGTCAATGGGAATCTTGACACAGACCTCAATAGGTATGTCTACACTACAATTGGGAGCGTGCCTCTCAGGCTGGATGGATAGACACGTGCCAGGCACATTTGAGCTAGTGCACTAAAAAGAGCAGTGTGGACATTGCAAAACAGCAACAGCTTGGGCTCCCAACCAGAGGCTGGACCCTCCCAACCCTCTGTGGGGACTTTGACATCAGTTCTGAGAGAACACCCAAAATTTGTTGCCTAATAAATTTGGTCTTTAACTTAAGGGCAAACTGAATCATAGTATTATCCTTCGGAGGTATTTAAATGATAATTTAAGACCAGGATGAAGAAGGGGACAAAAGAGGAGTGTTGTCCATCAGGGCAACCACGTAAGAACAGTGATGTATGAGTCCTGCAGTGGACTGAAGCAGACATTTACAGGGCACTTGACATTTTGGTATCGTAGGGACATGTTCCCCTCATTCCTCAAGTGATTGCTGCTATGGATCGGTCTGTTAGAGAGAGTTCTTAGTTCAGGTATCACTGTAACAGGATTGCTGTGTGCATTTCTACACACCGCTTTGAAAGCGAATCTCTGTATGAAAAGCATTGCCAGGTGCCGACCAGTATAAGCATCAGCTTCCTGTGTTCAGAGTAATGGTGACATCAAGTGGCCACTAGGATCATCTCAGCTACTCAAGGAGTTATCCTGGCTATAACAGGTCAGAGTGGATATTCTCATTCCAGCAGTCCACCAGAAGTAGCCAGGCCTTTTCTCCTACTAGTCTATGAGTATGGCTATATTACAAGCAACATTAAAATCACCCAGTAAGAAGATTTATATTAGAAACATTGTCACTCTATTCAAGGTCATATGGTATCTTCTTTGTCAGTTTTATTTATCTAAATGTTTAGAAGTCATTTAGAAAAAACAGTTACTGAAAAGCTCTAGGGACCTTTTTCATATCTTAAGAAATACAAACAATGTAAACAATACTAGGAAAATCCAGCAATTTCCCATCAGGAAAAGGGAGAAAAGGAACCCTTAACTCCAGCCACTTGGGCTATTTAATCTGCTGTTGTCAGACAGGAGACCTCTTTCATAACTATTTTCTTCACAATGACTCCTGCATATCCAAAATGACTGTCTATCTAAGGCCACACTCTTCCACCTCATTAATAACTGCTTTAAATGCAGGCCCTCCAAATCAGGACTGGGAGCCTTAAGTGGAGCTGCACGGGTCTTCTGCTGCTGCTCATGCTGTAACTGTTCTGAGGAGAATTATTTTTTATATTTAAATAATAAAAAGGAGCCTACACGAGGCTCTAGGTGCTCTAACATATAAATTAGTAGTGCAACAAAAACCCAGCAGCATTATAACAAACATTCAAACAGCAACTCAGCTAGGCAGCCTCCTACAAAAAACACTCACTCCTTCATCACCCTGGGAAGGATATCCTCAGCCCTCTCTTAAAACCCTATCAAATAGGGCAGCATGGTGGGTAGATCACCAAAGTTGGGCTGCTTCCGATCAACACAGGGAACAAGTTCCCGAGTCCTGGAGTCCTCTCAGAGAATGCTATGGCAGCTGCCTCTTTTTTTATAGCAAGGGGGATCCAGTTCAAATACCTTTGTTGACTGCAATGGTGGCGGTATAAACAGACTCTAGTCTCCAGGGCAGCCATACCTGCTTCTCTCATGATAATTAAGTACATACACATCACACACACAAACTTTAAGAAGGAAAAAAAGACTTTGAAGACTTTGCTTTCTAAAATGGTTCTATGTAAACCACAGTAGTGTGGTTTTCTACCTACAGAAGGAACAGTCACAATTCTCAATGTCACTCTTTAAATGCAATATACAGTAGGACAACATCCACCAAGTACTTACATTTCCAAATATTTCTGGCAGCCCCAAAACCTGAGCAGTGAAAACTCCAATACAGATGAAGATTGCTGTGACCTGCCCCAGAGAACCCCGGATCTCCTTAGGTGAGATTTCACTCAAATAGATGGGAAGGGCACTGAGAGAGACACCTATGAAAGAAGGGGACAGCAGAGAAATTGCTGTAAGTACAACTGACTTTACATTGAACCCATACATGAGCAAAAATTTATTTAGAAAAGTTTGAATACCAATCTCAGACACCAGCATGATGAGAATGGCATAAGAACCTATACAGAACAGAATCTATGCATGTGTGTCCATGCACATACATTAGTATCTAATCACCAAGGGGGCCAATAGTTTCAATTACATATCTGAAATGATGCATGCTGGTCAGGACTCCATTGCTGCAATATGAAGAGGGCTGTTCATTCTATAGAAATTACCACTAGAGGTCCTGGGGCAGGGGTGCCTTACTCAACCAGATGTCCAAAATAAGCAGGATGAGGAAGCTGTCCTTTTGGCTGCCCCCAAAAGAACTGGTAGGAAGGAAAGGGCTAAGTTATCCCCGGATGGGATACATGTGTGTGCTAAGAAGGAGTGGGTTAAAATAGCACTGACCTTCTTTTCAAGAAGGCAACTATAGGTGTGGGGAGCATGGAAGAGTAATAGCGGGATGCCTGTCTGGCCTGAGTTTTCCTTTCTCAATTTTCTAGGCATCAAGGGACCATCGTCTGCTCCCTGCCAAAGGACAGCAAGGGAGAGGATGCTGATATTGCACTGGTTTCACCCTCCTTTCAGATTGTGTTTATTGCAAAGGTGTGTGTTGTGAAGATGTGCATGCAGTGTAGCAAGAAAGTGAACCCTCAAACCTAGATTTTCCGGTGGAAATCCCATACACTGCTATGTCTGAACCTTCCCATTGCTCATCCATTGTTAATGGTATTAATGGGGTGAATGGTATTAGAGATTCTGATGTCTGAAAGACATCAACATCTGTAACATTCACTAGACTGATTCCAGCATCACCAGAACAACAACCACCTGCAGCATAGGAAGAGAAGGAAGGAGGAATGTGTAACGGTTCACAATGGAAGTCTCTTCTCACTTCATCAATTGCCTGGACACAGGTAAATAAGAAAAATCCAACAACCTGATTTAGCAATATGTCAACTAGACAATATTAAATACAACATGTTTACACTATAGAATGCATCCTTGTTGTAGCAGCAGAGAGAGATATGTTCCCCTTAAACATGCTTACCATACTGATGGACTTTTAAGAGCATGCATGAATTAGAGAGGAGAACACACCCCAAAATGTGGGGAAATAAAAAAGTCAGCTTAAAACCACCTTAGTCCAGCAGACTAACATTGGTATAAGGTACCAATTTGTATGTGAACAACACACATATCATCAAGACTACTGTAATTAGTTCTTACAAACAAGATAACCAGCTAAATTATTTTGATGGAAATGGTGGTTCCACATGGTATTTTAAGAGTTGAAAAACATTACAAATGGATAGCCATGTTCAGTCTTATCTTATTCATATTGATATGCCATCTAGCAACACCAAAATGCAAAATAGTAAGCATCTTTAATAGACAGCCCATGTTCTCCTACCCAAAGGGTTTCTGTTTTGCGAAGACAGACATTCTGTACAAAGGGGAATTTGCTGTCATGGTTAATATCCATTTATGTTTCTTCATTAAGGATCAGATTCTGCCATCCTTACTCATACGGATTGTTCCCATTGAATTTAGTGGGATTATGCATAGAAATCACTCCTCAATGTAAGGGTGGCGGAGGATGCCCAGTATAAACTGTAAGTGTATGTACAGCATAACGTAAAGCTTACCTGCATGAATACCCATCACAATGCGGCCCAATAAGAGCATTTCAAATGATCCTGCTAACTGACAGAGAGCCATCAACAACGCAGCCACAACTGCAAATACATTATTGATCAGCAATGTATGTTTTCTGAAAGGAAAATATATATGTGTTACATTTATTAAAATAGCTAAATTGTATATAAAAGTGCAGATCATTAAAAACACAGTGCTTAACAAACACAGGTTCACACATGTTAAGCATTACAGAAAGAGTTTACAAAAAACTGCAGTTAAAGATATCGGCTGTAGAATAAATACAACCACTGTCACAAAATAAAGGTCCAAATCTCAAAGGCATGAAGATTTGCTTTCTTATGCTTCCCAAGAGCAAGACAAGATATACTTAAGATTAGCATGTTCTGGATAGCTGGACATATGTAGCATCATAACGGTTTCAAATTGTAAAAAAAATAGGATATACTTCAAATTTCAATAGGTTGAAAAAGATGGTAGAACCTTGCATGGTATTTACAAAGTTTTCAACAGATCAGTGTTTGGAAAACGTCAGTATGTACTGGTATGCAATATGGCCAAACTCAATTCTGGATTACAGAATGGAAATCTAGAAAAACTCCATGGATGTCACCAGATTTACATTGTTGTAACTGAAAGCAAAATTTGTCCCTAATTCATGATATTACAGGTATATAAAAGGAAAGTGACCTCATGCACAGCTGGACAAAACATCTGGGTTTTTTAGTTCATTGGTAAAACCAATTTCTTTTCACAAAAAATGTGGAAATTCTCCATAATTTTAAATTTGTTACCCAATTCCATCTATTTTTCCAAATTTACTATCACTGGATGAAATAACTAAGTAGTAGTTAAAATGAAAGAAACTACTTTTCCACATTTCCAAAACCAAGTTCCTCTAGCACAACAAACGCCATATATCTTTATCATTTAAATATAGTTTTATCCATATTATTCTTTGCTGCCATGCGCTCTCTTTCCATATCTTTTGAGCTGTGAATCAAAACACTGTGATCTCTCTCAGCCTATAGAGGTGGCAGCATGAAGAATTTCCTGGATCTTTTGACTCTTTGCTTCACTTACTTTCCTGTGGTGACAAAGTCAGATTTTGCCACGCATGTGTAACAAGAATGTGAAATCAATAGCTCTACCGAAATTAATTCTGCAATGAGTGTTCCCTGCTGAAGGATTAAATATAAAAGCCTTCCCAAAGCAGAGATCATCACTACTACCTGACTGGATGTCTCCATCACCTTATCTCAAAGAAAAAAGGCTTCAAATGGCTTCTTTTTCTTGAAGACAGATACACAAAAAATCGATTGGCAGGGCTCACCAACCCCTAGGATACTGATTAACTGAAAGGGTTTCAGAGTATGTCTACACTGCAAAGGAAAACCTACGGAGCCAAGTCACAGAGCCCAGGGCAAGTGACTCAGGCTCGCAGGGCTCAGGCTAGGGGACTAAAAATAGCAATGCAGATGTTCTGGCTCAGGCTGGAGCCCAGTTTCTGAAACCCAGAGAGAGGCTTAGAGCCCAAATGCTTACACTGCTATTTTTAGCCCTGCAACCTAAGTCTCACAAGCCAAGTCCATTGACCCTGGCTCTGAGACTCAAGAACCAGGGGTCACCCAATGAAATTAATAGGCAGCAGGTTTGAAATAAATAAAATGAAGTACTTCTTCATGTAATGCACAGTCAATCTGTGGAACTCATTGCCAGGGGATGTTGTGAAGGCCAAAACTATAACGGGGTTCAAAAAAGAACTAGATAAGTTCATGAAGGACAGGTCCATCAATGGCTATTAGTCAAGATGGTTAGGGATGCAACCCCATGCTCCAAGTGTCCCTAGCCTCTGGTTGCCAGAAGCTGGGAGTGGACAACAGGGGATGGATTGCACCATGGTTGCCTGTTCTGTTCATTCCCTCTGAAGCACCTGGCATTGGCCACTGTTGGAACAGAGGATACTGGGCTAGACAGACCATCGGCCTGACCCAGTATAGTCATTTTTATGTTCTCAATTATATTAGCTTTTTTTGCAACAGTTGTACACTGTTGACTCACATCTAGCTTGTGATCCACTATAACCCCCAGATCCCTTTCTGCAGTACCACCTTCTTAGGCATTCATTTCTCATTTTGTATGGGTGCAATTGATTGTTCCTTCCTAAGTGGAGTACTTTGCAGTTGTTCTTATTGAATTTCAACCTATTTACTTCAGACCATTTCTCCAGTTTGCCCAAGTCATTTTGAATTTTAATTCTATCCTTCAAAGCACTTACAATCCCTCCCAGCTTGGTCTTCTCCTCAAACTTTGTAAGTGTACTTTCTAGGCCATTATCTAAACAATTTATGAAGCTATTGAAGAGAACCGGACCCAGGACCAATCCCCATGGGACCCCATTCGATATGCCCTTCCATCTTGATTCTGAATCATTCGTAACTACTGTCTGGGAATGGTTTTCCAACCAGTTATGCACCCCCCTTATGGCAGCTCCATCTAGGCTACCTTTTCCTAGTTTGCTTCTGAGGAGGTATCAAAAGCCTTTCTAAAGTCAAGATATATCACATCTACTGCTTCCCCCTATCCACATGGTTTGTCACCCTGTAAAAGAAAGCTATTAGGTTGGTTTGACTGATTTGTTCTAGACAAATCCATGTTGATTGTTACTTATCACCTTACTATCTTCTAGGTGTTTGCAAATTGATTGCTTGATTATTTGCTACATTATCTTTCTGGGTACTGAAGTTAAGCTGACTGGTCTGGCTTGTTGTTATTCCCCTTTTTATAGATATGCTGTATATTTGCCATCTTCCAGTACTCTGGAATCTCTCCAATCTTTCATGACTTTTTGAAGATAATCACTAATGGTTCAGATATCTCCTCAGTCAGCTCCTTGAGTATGCTAGGATGTATTTCATCAGGCCCTGCCGACTTGAAGACATCTAACTTGTCTAAGTAATTTTTAACTTGTTCTTTCCCTATATTAGCCTAAAAACCTACCTCATTTTCACTGGCATTCACTATGTTAGACATCCGATTGCTACAAACCTTTTTGGTGAAAAATGAAACAAAAAAGGCATTTAGCACTTCCGCCATTTCCACATTTTCTGTTATTACCTTTCCCTCCTCATTGAGTAAGGGGTCTACCCTCTCCTTGGTCTTCCTCTTGCTTCTAATGTATTTGTAGAATGTTTTCTTGTTAGCCTTTATGTCTTTAGCTAGTTTAATCTCATTTTGTGCCTTGGCCTAATTTTGTCCCTATATGCTTGTGTTGGGTTTTTTATATTCATCCTTCGTAATTTGACTTATTTTCCACTTTTTGTAGATCTCTTTTTTGAAGATCATTGAAGATCTTCTAGGTAAGTTAGGGTGGTCTCTTGCAATACTTCCTAGCTCTCCCATGCAGCGAGATAGTTTGCTCTTGTGCCCTTAATAATGTGTCTGAAAAACTGTCAAGTCTCTCAAACTGTTTTTCCCCTGAGGTTTGCTTCCCATGGGATCTTACCTACCAACTCCTTGAGTTTGCTAAAGTCTGCCTCCTTGAGATCCATTATCTTTATTCTGCTGTTTTCCCTCCCATGATTCCATAGAATCAGGAACTCTATCATTTCATGATCACGTTCACCCAAGGCACTTAGGAGCCCAATCAATGGGACTTAGGCTCCTATGTCATTTAGATGCATCTGAAAAGTTTACCCTACTTCTGAGAAATGTAATCTTTAGTCCAGCAACAAATAAATAAATGTTGAGTGCTGTATTTTAAAACACGGACATTATTTCTGGACAATATGTTGGTCCCCTCTGTCTCATTGTTCTAAGTCAGTGTAAATTAAAGTCAGTTTCACTATTCACACCATCCAGCAGCCCGCATGCACACTGTACTATGCAGAAAGGGCTTTTTATTGCTCTGTCACTGTTTTGGTGCCCTTTTTAGGCACTACAGTTGAATACTTAGACAAGTTTCCGTAACTATCATGAATATCAACTATCCAAAAGGACTGCAGTGTGAATAGTATTCCTGAAAACTCATTCTTGATGGGCAGTCTTGAATACTTTTTTGAATAACAGCTGTTGAAGGCACAGTTCCTTCCATGTACAAATCCTTATTCTGTGCTCATACAGTAGCTGCATGGCAGAGCTCTCTATTTTCATTACTTGAATTCTCATATTCTATGGGCAAAGGGACAAAACCTTGGAAATTTAACCCCATAGCCTAGGAATGTGATCTGCTTCTATCAAAATGGCATTTGTGCAACTGTCTGTTTACTTGCTACACCATTTCAATAAACCTTAGTAACCCGCACACTTGTTAATCACAAAAATGCCTCTCCTCTTCTCAGCAAAAAATGTAAGAGACTTGCTATGGTGAGCTCTCATATTTGACATTTTAAAAAATACAGTGCAGAACATTCACTGACACCTTCTGAATGAAGTTTTTGATTGTGAGATGGAGAATTTGGGAAGGGTATGAATTGATGAGTTGGGGAGGAGGCTGAGAACTGAGTAGTTAAATTGAGGGGAAAGGATATTGAAAACAAAATAGATTGGTGAATTGATGGGAGGGAAGGCACAGAATTGGTGAATTACTGGAGGTGGGGAAGAGAAACAGTGGACAAAGGATTTGGAGGGCCAGAGAATAGGTATTTGCTGTGTGAATGTAGGAAGAACCACAGAGCATACAGTGTAAGGTGAAAAATGGGGAAGAAAAACGAGGAGAAAAATGGATTGGGTGTAGAAAAGGAAAGTACAGGAGACAGAAGATTTGAGGTAAGTGGAAATTGGATTGTAGGGGAGTAAGGGGTAGAGTAAGACAAGGGAGAAAGTTAGAATCAAGAAGACGAGGGAAAGAAAGGAGGAAAATAAAGGCTAAAAGACTAGAGGAAGCAGAATGATGGGGGAGAGGGGATGGACGATGTTTTTATACATGTCTATGTATTTGAGCCCCTGTGGTGACATTTAGTAGAACCTAATTTGCCAGTAGCAAGTCATTCTGTGAGTCATCTTAAAGAATTTAAAGAAATACTCAGGAGACTTTCTTTTAAAAAAATATTCTAAAGTTAGTTTTTTAACCCTTAAAACCCCTCTTGAATATGAGACATAATATCTTGGTGCAAGGACACCCCCAAATCCTCTCATTTAAGGTTTTATTGCCTCTCTCACAGTTTCCCAAACTCCCCACTTCTCTTTGTGGCTAACTTCGGACCTGAAGCTACCCCCGGATATGACTGTGGTGTGAGCTGCACAGTAAAGCAGAAATCTGCCAATGCAAGTATTCTCCTTTACAGTAACCATGGAATTTAGGAATACATGTTACACCTGGTCAGTGTTTACCCAAAGACAACCCTGAACAATGGCCCTACGGAACTCAATCTGTGCATACTACTCCAAAAGAGACAGCCCTTTGATTCAGCTACCACCTCTGGTGACTGCTACAAATTTGGAGTTATAAACAATAACAATGGTAAACTTTTCCTTGTTTCCTGTGGGGCAGCACCACCAGATCATATAAAATTTAGAAGCTATCCAATGTAGTTTTCCTAATTTGAAGGTCTTTAAACTGAGAAGGAAATTTATTATGTTAGAAAATATTTTTATTGATGCTATAAAAAGGGTAAGTAAGATGCCAAATTCAGAGCCTTGTAATGTACCTACCGGCCAAAGAACTTCACAATTGGTGTGGTAATTATCGCACCCACCAGTCCACCAATGGAGAAAATAGACACGGTTATAGACCAGAGGAGTGTAAGAGTTCCTCCATCTATTACGTGGCCGTATCTTCTGTCCCAACTTTCATTGTAAAACCTCTTGATATACTAAAAGTAAAGAGACAATAATGGTATGTGTGAAAGCAGCTTACTTGATGAGTAAGGACACTAAAACAATCAATCATGATTTAAACAATGGCAAAATAGTAGCTTGCTGTATAGAAGCTTCTTGAATAGACATCTGTGACATCCCTCTTTAAATTGTTTTCACCCTAATCCGGAATGATTTGGAATAAATTCAAAATATGTAAATTCAGTCATTAGTGTTATGGGTTGAGTTATACATTGTTATGAGCTGGGTGTAGCTGCTGCCTTACATTCAGGATAAACATTAAGAAGCCATTGTGAAGAATTGGCTGAACCAACAGCAGTAGCACTCAACACACAGGCACATGAAAAAAGCTTGAGCCGATGCTGCCCCAGGCACCAGAGATTGAGACAGAAGCAGAGATATAAAGTCAAGCCACAGTAACAGAAAGTTGGGATGCGGTTGTGAGAGAAAATTAAAAGAAAAGGATTTTGGGGTATGGAGCACTGGCAGGAAAGGCAGGCATGGAACACCAGACACAGAAATTGTCTCCTGCTACTTGGTTCCTACTATGGTCAGAGAAACAAGACTTTGTACATTCTTAATGAATAAGCAAAATTGCATCAAAGAATTGAATTGCACCACCAATTTCTCTCCTAAGTGAAACAACCTACAAGACCCCAAATGATGGGCTATCCATTTGGGTCAAAAGGGGTATCATTATTATCTGTATTGCAGTAGCAGCTACAGCCCATTGTGACAGGCACTATACAAATATATAACAAAAAAATGGTCCCTGCCTCAGAGAGGTTACAATCTAAGTGCACAGTAAAATGCTGTTAATATTGCATTGTAGTATCTTCATATTAGGAACAAGTAGTTTTTCTGAATACTCCATAGGTCTCTACTGAAAACCATTTTAAAATAGAAAAACTCCAAGGGAAAGGAAGAGAAGAAAAAGGGCAACAAAGACAGAAAGAAGAAAAGAGGAGACAGAGATTGGGGGTGGGAGATTGGGGAGGAACAGAAACTCAAGAGGAAAAACAAGAAACGAGATGCCAACTGAAGATGATACCTAGCTTGCCTTGGCTCACAAAATGGAACTTCAAAAGCAGAAGGATAAAACAGGGATGATTTCTGTTTTAATCCCCCCCAAATTCTGTAACTGATGATTATGAGAATATTTTATACTGATGCTTTTTATTGGTATGTACACATGCACAAACAGTACATGAAACACTTTTCAGTATTTCTCAATTACTGATTTTTAGTTTGCTTTATCAACAGGAGTCATTCCCTTTTCGCCGTTCTGTCTTTTTGGTATTCAGTTTCTTAGAAAAACAAGCAAGACAAATTCATCACCACCATTCTCCCCACTGCCTACACCCGCCCAAATGGGGTGAAAAACTAAAGGAAATATTTGAAATTTTACAAAATGACGGTGTTATTGTCTTCGCCAAACATCTGCTACAAATAATAAAAGATGAATGAAAGGAGATTTAAATTTGACACAGGGTGGTAATATATAAAAATTATGTCAGGTGTTAAGGTGTGATAATTAGAGCTGTGCTGAGAACAGAAATTCCATTTTGAGGAGAATTTCAAAACTTCAAAATTTATTTTCATTCCGATTTGGAATTAAACTCTGAAATTTCAAAATTCGCCATGAAAGAAAACTTGTTTCTGCTCAACTGAAACATCTTGAATTAGAATTTTTAAAACGTTTATATTTCATAATACAAATAATGTTATTATATTTTTATATTATATAACATAGCATAAGTATATAACACACAATTTTAAAATTTCAGAAAAAAAATCAAAATATTTTATTCTGAAAAATGTCAACGTGGGACTTCTCAACATTGTCAGAACTCTTTTCACCACCCCCCCAACTTTAGTCTCCAAAATGAAGTTTTTGTGGAATAAATATAATTTCACAAAGTATTTCAACTTTGATGGAACTACATTTTCTGACTGAAAATGGTATCAAAGTTCTTCAGACCAGCTCTAGTGATAATTTTTTAATGTACAAAAATGGCATCTAGTCCTTCCTATCCATGCAAGCTATCCAGCAACATCAACTGATTTCAGGGGTAAAGAGGTTCTTTCATGTATCCTAAGCCTGCTCCTGAGAAGGACTGAGCACCTGTAAGTCCCAGTGGAGTTAAAAAGATCTATGAGTTAACAGAATGTACCCATGTCCAGATCCTATACACTATTGTAATACTTTTTGTACAAGGTATGCCTTTGTAAGGTATCATTTGAAAACTCATAAGTTGTTGGTCCGTATTGTACTGGTAAAATATGTGTAGCAACATTGTGTGTGAAGTTATAAGATTCCCCTGTATGGTGTTATTAACACATGTTCCAAACCCTGCCCAAACAGAAGCTAGCAAACTGGTCTGTCTTAAACAAAGGAATGTATGCTCTGCTTAGTTTGCATTTAAGCAGTGAACAGCAGGAAGAGAAGACAAAGGAAGTTCAAATAGGTGAAAAAACCCATCAGGAAATATTATTATTCCACATAGACTCTTTGGCTCTTGATTCTCAGTTGGAAAGGTTTTTCAAGAGGGGAACTGAAACTATCAAAAGAAGGGACAAACACCTCAAGATACTCCCGCCGCCCATCGATTCACTGCACCTAAAGGGACAAAAAGTCAGCAGCCAGACTGGAGAAGAGGTCCTGACCTAAGAAGTTTAGTCAGTAAGACTGCTGAAAGCATATGGTGAGAACACTTTGCTTTGAATTTAACATAGGCTGTTAAGTTAGGCACCAGTTGTGTTTTACCTTTATTTTTCTTGTAACCATTTTTAAAAATTATGATGCATTACTTGTACTCACTTAAAACCTCTCTCTTGGTAGTTAATAAACTTGTTTTATTGTTTTATCTAATCCAGTGTGTTTAAATTGAAGTGTCTGGAAAACTACATTTGGGGTGGCAAGTTGTGAGCATATTATTGGGGGGGGGGTGTTGGGGTCACCTTGAAGTATAGCCAAGGCTGGTGAGAGCCAGAGTGTAAACCAGGTGTGACTAGCAGGCTGCGGTTACACACCAACATTCAGCGTGTGGCTTGCACACTGAAAGGCTGTGAGCAGCCCAACTGGAAGCTGCTTCAACCAAAGCATTGTAAAGCACCCATAATTGCTAAGCAGGGGGTACACAGCCGCTCAGTAGTCTGGATTGTACCATGGTATGTCGCAAACAGGAGCCCAGCATCTCCCAGGGCCAGGCTATTTGTGAGTGCTGGCTGCATCTAAAAAGAAGTGCATTTTGAGCCTGGACCAAAACCCATTGACGTGAATGGGTATCTTTACATTGACTTTAATGGGGTTTGCCGCAAATACAACAAATGAAAAAGGTTGTAAATATCTGAATAATAATGGGTTGCTAGACCTTGCTACGGTAAGGGAGAGGGTAAGTGGGAGTTGCCAGGCATGGGGGTATCGCAGGGACAGCGGAAGCTAATCTGATGAAATAGAATGGAAATAAATTATATAAATGAAAAAAAAATAAGTGACTGTGAAGAAGGAAAGTATGCTGTATTTATTTATTGGGAGTTCAGCGTGCCTTGGGACTCTGCATCTGAAAAATGACAGCATGAGCCCTAATGCACAGTAGCTGTAAGGAAAGCTGAAATGTATTTCTGGTTCATTAAAAGGATATTCAAAATAGTGAGGCAACATATTTATAATTATGCAATAAATTTACAATTTTCAAAGGGTAGATGATCCATTTATTATCTTATAGCACATAATATAACCCCAAGTGCCTATCCTGAAAATTAACTAAAATGCCAAATCTCCTGCACAAAGAATGTATGAGGAATGCTTTCTATCTTTTCGCATCAAAGCTAATTGTGTTATTTCCACTGCTTGAAGGATGTATTTTTTAAAAAAAGCTATGAAATGACACCAAGAAATTGCTACACAGCTGGAATCCAGTTACCCTCTAGCATTTTTACCATTGTAATGTTCCATTCTGACTCATACATAACTTGTCATAAAATTTGCCTCCGTTTTTTTGAGTGACTATAAAAGTTACAGAAATAGTACATTTTCTGAGTGAAGGCCTATGATACACTCACCATGACATAGAAGAGTCATTACTGTTACACTTTACATTTTGCAGTTCAGGTTGAACTCAAGGTCATGGACTTGTTTGCAAATGGTCTATTTTTAAGGTCAATCTTTTAAAACTTGGGTGAGAAATCAGGCCTCTAAAGGTATATTTAGGTGCTGAAGTAAGTGCCCTCATTTTCAGAGGTGCTGAGCACTCACCAATTATAATGGTAAATTATACCAGTATAGCTAAACCAATGTAGTTATAGCAGTAAAATTCCACATAGGGACATTCTTATTCCAGAACTAGTAAGGGAAAGCCTATGTTGTTGCATGGGTGTGTCAGTTGGACCAAGAAATCCATCATCTGTAGAGTCTCTCTCAAACAACCAATAAAACTATTGCATGCAAATTAGCCGTAGACCAAGGGTGGTGATTGGTTGAGTTACTTCTAATCTCACAATGCTCTAGCACTCTTCATGGCATAGATACATGCCTTACTGTACTGTATACCAGATAGTTGTAATTCATGAAGTCAAAATGGACAGTAACAGATTGTAAATCCCAGTGATGATTCAACCTGCTGATATGCAAAACAAAAAGAGCTCTCAGCCACGTTTGTAGCAGATTCCATTGCACTGACTCTACAGACATTCTCAGCTTTCAAGTGACACATAGAGTGACAATCCTGAAATCTTATCTTATATAAGAGCGGCTTTATTTTTTGGTTTGTTTAACCTAAACCCCTTGCTAAATGGCATAAGCTAAATTGAAAAAAGTGTTCTTATATCTCAGTTTTAAAAGAGGTTATTTTGTCTTAAATGTTTAGAGCTTTTTAATAGAGAGTCTTTATATATTCATGTAAAGAAATAGCAGCTTTATCTTTCCAGGACATTAAAATGTATTCAGAGACACAGCCAAACTCACTGGTATCCACTCTTTACTCTGCCATGGATA